ACTTTGAGTCTTTATCTTGCAGGAAAAACACGGCCGTGCATGAAATGAAGCGTGTTCATCATGTCCTCTGTTTAATTTGATCTCGCTTTTTTGTTAATAGCATGCATTCTCCACCGTTCCATACTAAAATATGTTCTCCTGGAGAAGGCTTGGCAGGTAAACAGCTGCCCTGCTCCTGAAGGAATATTGTTTTTACCTGGATTCGAGAGTGCATGTGCTGGGGAGTGATTCTTATTGGTTCTCTTCTGTTTTGGAAAGCCCGATATTGCATCGATTTAGGTGTCTTTGGAGGTGCGTTTCAGAACCTGGCTGACTTTGTCTGCATCGAGTCCGGACTCTCCTGAATAATGAGCGATCGAGGAGAGTCCAGTGAAACACACTTTAATTAGGACAGGGCAGCGGCTCTCCCGATGTCAGTGCAGGGTCCTACGTAGCAGAAGTAATGTGCTATTGTTTCTTCAAAGATGAGTGCAGCCTTCATTTTGGATGGTTTTCTTTGTTTCACCTTTTGTAGTTTTCATGAAGCCTTTTTTAACAGAGGGAACATTAGCATATCCCATTCTACCAAAAATACTTGTCCGTATGTATTCAGCTCGTGCCAAAGAGAGATTTTTTTGACTCTGGGCTTTGTTTAACAGGGATGTTGCTTTTGGAGTTGAAATTAATCACAGGAAGGTGGGGTTCTTACCACTTGGACTAATGTTTGACAACATTTTAAAATTTCTGTTAATGGTCGCCCGGATTATTTTCCAAATCAAACAATAAATAATCTTAAATTCTGTAGTAAAGATGGTACATTCTGAAGGAAAGATATTTAAATGGCCAAAGCTGAGCCCAAAGAAACCCAAACAGACGCAATGTGAGTTTTTGCTTCTCAGGGTGCCTTCTCCATAGAGTTCTGTTTTATTCCAGAAGAGCAGCCCCACCCTCGCTGCCGTCTAGTTCTCAAACTTAAAAATTGATGTGCTTACCGTATCAGACTGTGGAGAGCACAGAAACTCGTGTATTGAGTCACCAGTCACACGGCTGGCTGGCTGCCACCATGCGTCTGGTATCAGTGGAGAGCCCTGCTGATACCTGAGGCTGTCAGAATTATTTCCCTGCTCCTGACATGCCAAACATTGCCATTTAAGTCTTCTGTTAAAATGAGTGCTTTGATTTAAAACTATATACCAGTTAAAGGGGTTCCGTATGTTCTTTAGTAGAGGAAAACTTCAGGTTACTCACTCTGCTTCACTGCCCCCTCCCAAACTCCCACACGAGTCCATCCTGAGGTCTAATAAATCACCGGATGTAATATTTCGTTCAACTATTAGTTTTCAGGAAAAAACAATAAGGGGACGATTATGAAAGCTAGCCATTTATTGTAATACAGCATCGTCTGTGATAAGAAAGTTTGATAGTCGGCCATCGTCATGCGCAGTCTGCAGTGTTTGCAGCTTTAAGATCCCATGTGTGCCGAAATGAAACGCACGTGAGGAGGGTGGCTTCCTGTCCGGACCCCCTGTAACAAGCCACGCCCCGTTCCCAGTTCAGGGGGTCCTGCAGCTGGGGATGGAGGAGGGCAGTTCCCGGGATTGTGACGTTGCGCTTCTTCACTTGTCCAGACCCCGCTCTCCTGTTTCACTCCTGCATCCTTCACCTGACATACTCCCTGTGGGGACACGGAGGATAACCTTTCTCTGCATCCACGATCAGGCTTGGCACGCCTTTCGGGAAGAATAAATTGATGCAATTCCTTAATTGCTTCTCCCTCTTCTTAATCTCCTGAAATACTTCCTAAATTACCGTGGTCCGAGAGAATTTCTAAGAAGTAGGCTGCCTGAAAAGTAAGTTACTCTCGAACGTAAACATTGCCACCCTCCTTTTGTGAGCACAGCCCCGTGAAGCTGTGTGTGTGTCGCTGAAGGCTGTGGGAAGGAGTTCTAAGTGATGTTGATTCTCAAGGGCTGGATCTTAAAAGACTTTCTGTGTCTAGAAGGGACTTCTTAAAAATGTAATGTAAATTATACATGTATATTATATAATGCACTATCATATCCCAAAGGATCTTCCAACATATACTAAAGGGGTATTTTTCTAATAGCACTAAATAAAACGTTATTTATATTTTCACAAAGTAACAAAATCTGTACTTTTAGCTTCAGCTGAGTCACGTCTTACCTTTTTTTTTTTTTTTTTACTACATTAAGGGGAACCCTTATGTGTATTTCTGTGATAAAAAATAAAAATAAATTTCTTGGACACTTTTAAGATTTTGCTATTTCCCCTCCTTATCATCTATCTCATAGCTCTTCACTGACGAGAGAATAACATTTCTGACCAACCAAAACTAGGTCGATTAGCATGAACTAGAGTATAAAACATGTAATATTTTCAGATTAAAGCGTTATCTATTGTAAGAGATCCCATCTGACTTTTCCTCCTAGGGGCTTATGATCATAGCAGGAAAGATAGTTATCAGTTTAAAAACAAAAAGTCACTTCCTGTAGAATATGATGTGCCACAAAGCCACTGGGCTGCACAAGGCCTGAAATAGTAGTAAAAAGGAAGGCGCAATGGGCAATACGTGCTGCGGGGGGTAAGAGTTCTGGGCTGGCTTTATCACTGGTCACTTGGGCATCTGTGATATCAAAAGAACTGAGGGAGATCTGTCATTAGCAGTCAACAAATATTGCAAGGTTGACCCTCCTAAAGTTTCCTGGGCTGGAAAAACATTCGAAATGACATTAGGCCTCTCACCTAGATGTGCTTATTTTTTTCGTTCATTATTTTATTTTATAATTAGGGGCACCTGCCATGTGCTAGGTCCTCCTAAGCTTTAGCAGGAGGAAGAGAGATGGCCCTAGCTGCAAATAAATAACAAGAGGGGGTACAAGGAGCAGAACGAGGAGCTTCCAAGCTTGGTGATTCCAAGGAGGGGTGACCGTTCTCTAGAAAGATGCGGGGAACAGAAAGGCTTCAGAAAAAGAGGGACAGCAGTGTCTGATCTGGAGCACCCTGTTCCCACCCATCTCATACCACATCCACTGCTGTTAATGTTAAGTGGGAGTCGGTGTCTCCGCTGATTGGTTTCATATTTTATATTGACTTTCAGTTTCACCATGTCGTCTGATTGCTGATCAGTAATAAGTGTAATAAATTGACCCCTGAAGGATGCAGGGTTTAGGGATACTGACCCCTATGCGGTTGAAAATCCACATATGACTTTTGATTCCCCATAAACTTAACTATGCCCATTATCTTCGGGGAATTGGCTCCGGGAACCCCCTTGGATACCAAAACCTACCAATGCTCAGGTCCCCGGTATAAAATGTCCAGATCGATGCATAAGGTCAGCCCTCCACATCTGCAGATTCCCACACAGAGGCTGGAAAACAGGACAGGTTTTTATCGGAAAAAAAAAAAAAATCATGTATATGTAGACCCACACAGTTCAAACCTGTGTTCAAGGGTCAACTGTATAATTTTTTTTTCTCATTCCTCAGTTGTCAGAATACACACTAGATTGTTTTATGGAAGTACTTTTATTTAAATATATTTACATGGAATGTGAAAAAGTGTTTAAACGTATGTAGTAACTTAAAAATGCGTCTTAAAGATATCACACAATATTTTCATTACTGTTGTACTCTTAAATAATTTAGTGATTACTTTTGTCACTGTTGGCTTTTATTGGGAATTGTCAATTGCTATTGGTTGCCTGTTAACGCTTTTTTTAATTTAACTGACTCATTTATTAAAAGTCACTTATTCTGTATGTGCTCATTAAAGACAAGCTTATAAAACTGGGGCTTGGATTTTAACACTCGCATTTAACCTTACTGTAATTGAGGCCTTTTGATTTCCTTACGCACTTAATTGAATTTAGACATGTTTTAAATCTCACCAAATTTGGAGGGAAAGTCCACTTTAAGTGTCATCTATTTGTGTTAGATTTTGCCACCAGTAGAATGTCTACATGGAAACAGCTACTGCATTCCTGGTGCTGAGGCCTCTCCTAATTCTGTAGTGTTTTGCCCTAGCCAGGCTTCCACACCGCATTTTTCACAAGCCTTCCTTCCTCCACCCCTGCTCTCTGAACTGGAAGTCTCTTCAGAGGTGATTGTCAAAGGCAACAGCTCTGGGCCCTGCTGGCTTCCCTTCTGTGTTCCTTCTGTCTCAGATAGTGCCTTCCCAGACTCCTTCTTTTCTGCCAGCTCTTTGGGTAGGTATCCCCCAATGTTTTGCCCTTCATCAGCTTTTGTGTCACTTGCTGTCCATTGGTTGGAAAGCCACAGACTTAGTGGCCACTTCTGTGTCCCCCCTACCCTTACCCCTCTAGTCCAGCCACCCCGGCCTCTTGTGCTCCTTCTGCCTCAGGACCTTGGCTGCCCCACTCTGCCTAGAAAGCCCGCCCCTCAATAAACCCATGGCTCGCTCCCTCACTGCCTTCAGGTTTTTGCTCAGATGTCTCCCACTGCCATCCCAGTGGAACATTCTGAGTTAGTATCTACTGTATTTAGACTCGTTGTTCTGAAATGTAGACTCAGAGGTCAGAGATTTCTATCTTAACCCCCATAGCCTAGAACAGAACTTGGTCCCTTTGGGGCCCCTGGTCCCTATTCTGAAATGAGGACTGCATATCAGATGGACTGACACTCTGCCTGTCACACCTTGGATGGACTCGGACTCAATTCCAGAAATGAGATGATGTCTTGTAAACCTTTATTTATGTGACTTCTCACAAAGATATTTATATTCTTTCTGTGTAATCACTGCCTATGGTTAAATGTCTCCTTAAAAAATATAGTTGAAGCGAGCATAACACTTGGCTTCTAAATGAAGTATGTATAAACGAACACATTTTGGTTTACCTACATGTTTGTTATTTATTTATTTTTTAACTATTGACCAATTTTTAAAAGAATTATCATTTTCTGTCTTTCTGTATATTTCATAGCCTGCCTGTTTTTGTCAAATAAAAAAACAATAACGATCCTTTCTTTCTTTCTTTTTAGGTATTTCATGCTGCAGAGAGAACTTTAAGAAAAGAAGAATTTCCTGTGACTTCTGTCTCCCATCCATAAAATACTCATTCCTCCTTCAAGTAAGTAAGTATATTGCTTTGCTTTGATCCAGTCTCGGCAAAAGGTATTGATTCTTTCTGAAAACTAGTGTCATTATTACATTAAGACAAAGAAGCTGAGGTTTCAGATATTTTGCTATCCGGCAAAAAAAAAGAGTGTCTGCCTTTGAGGCTGCCGGGATCTAAATAACAGTGACAATGATTTGTTTTGCCAAGGGTTTCTGTGATATGCTGTCTACATATCTGCTAGTAGTTATGTTTTTTTAAAGGCTGCGTTATACTTACCAATAATTAGTAACCAGGTATTTAGCAGTACATGGATTTGAAGACTGAAATAATAAACATCTTTACAGTCCAGTGCGAAGTACACTGTCTGTGGTTGGGGAATGGGATGGTGTTTTCTGAAGGGCCAGTTTTATGGAGCCAGCAGCAAGTGCCCTTGGAGTTTTGGGGACAGAGGTCTTTGCAGGATGGCGTCCCAGTGCAGGTCGTGTGGAGTGGGCAAACCCACATGCTGGCCCAGGCACAGACCAAGGTGGGAGGGATGTCGCGGATAGCCAGTGGACTCGGGAATGTGCATGCGCCATGAACTACACTGCTGGGCACTTTGTCCCACATCCACGCCCCTCCTGACATTTCTTCTGGTTTCCAAAGCTGACGGAGAACCTGGAAACATCCTATGGCCAGACCCATGAAAGAGCCAAGTAAGTGGATGAATTGGGTCAAGGTACAGATGTTCCTCCTTTTTACAGAGGGGCTGAGAGTTCAAAATCACCAGATGAGGTGGTTGAAAATGTTTGGGAAATCGAGAGACAGCTCTCCACCTAACTCAGGTCTGCAACAACTTGACTGGTAAAGAGCAGCCTCTTGAGAGGGTCGTATTCCCCTGTGACCATGTGCTTTGATTTGATCGACCGCCTTCCTTGAGTCTCCTCTCCAGCCTCCATATGAAATATACCATTACTTATATCATATGCCATGCATTTTATAGTTTATTATTACTGCATTATGCGGTACCTTGTTAGAGAGATATTGCTCTCCAGGAATTTCAAAACCTAACTTAAGCTGACAAGTAAGAATCAGCCTGGTGGAATTCTGCAGTCTCTGGAAAGAGATTTTAGAAAAGCCAACAAGACCCTTCAGTGATACACCCCAAAATCCATCACTCTTCTCACCATATTGCCTGTTCTTCTTATCCCAGATATAAGAAGTTCTGACATGGGAGCCTTGGGCTCCTGTTGGCTGGAAGGGACTCAGCGGCTCCCACCCCCAGGCCTTGTAGAGCCCAGTTGGTAGAACTGCACCTGAACACAGGTGGACTGCCTCCAACAGGGCTTGTGTTCTCCACTCTGCATCCTTCCAGCAGCCCACCCATCCCGGTTTGCCCACAAGTGAGAGGTTTTCTGGGACAAGTGTTAAAAACAGGAAAACTCCCCAATAAACAGGGACCTGTTAATCCCTCTCGTGATTCTCAACACCCCCACTCTCTCATACACAGCCGGGTGACGTTAATACTCACTGAGCTGGCTCCTGACAGCTGGTGAATTTGCAGCCCTAGTGGCCAGGAAAGAACTTGGGGTGGGGCTGAGTAGACATGGCTGTAACCTCAGCTTCAATGCTTACCAGCCTTGCTCATGGACTTCACTTCTCTAAGCCTTGGTTTCCCATAGGCTAGATAATAGTAACAGCCAGCTAGTAGGGATTTCGGAAAGGTTGCATGGCATAGCTATGAGAGGTGGCCGGTACAGCATAGACAGACATGCAAGAAGTGAAGCCCCCGCGCCCCACCTTTCTCCCTTCCAAAGGAACTGTGTGGAGAAGACAATCTGTTACCTTCACAGACCTTTGTCAATATTATTAGTTAGCTAGGTCCTGTGTCGGGAAGATTAGAAAGGATTCAACCATGTGACTCATTAACACAATGTCACCTGGGTTGTAAACAGTAAACCCTGGCCCCTACATCTAATTCTCAAATAGTATCAAGTCATTGTGTGCAACTTACCTGAAGTTGTTTTTCTATCAGCTTCCCCATAAATAGAAACTTTTTAAAGTTAAATTGGTCCAGAGAAGGATAGGGCGATAGATATGTTTATTATTATTTTTTTATTTTTAAATACAGTTGAAATTCAATATTATTTTATATAATTTCAGGTGTACAGCATAGTGGTTAGACATTGATATAATTTATTGTGTGATTCTCCCCAATTAGTCTAGTACCCATCTGGCACTATACATAGTTATTACAATATTATTGCCTGTATTCCCCGTGGTGTACTTTACATCTTCGTGACTATTTTGTAACTACAAATTTGTACCTCTCAATTTCTTTACCTTTTTTACCCAGCTCCCTAACCACCCTCCCATATGGCAACCATCAGTTTGTTTTCTGTATCTGTGAGTCTGTTTCTGTTTTGTTTGTTTGTTTGTTTTGTTTTTTAAATTCCAGATATAAGTGAGATCAGGTGGTATTTGTCTTTCTCTGACTGACTTATTTCACTTAGCATAATGCCCTCTAGGTCCATCTATGTTGTTGCAAATTCTTTTTATATAGTCGAGTAATATTCCGTTGTAATTATGTACTACATCTTTATCTAATCGTTTATTGGTGGGTACTTAGGTGGCTTCCATAATAGAAACATTTTTTTAGTGCCTTAAAGATTATTGTTTATTGAAAAAGCATCGTTTTTTCTTATTATCCAAATGTTTTCAACTGTTTTAGGCCATTTTTGCATTTAAAGTTCACTAAAACTTGTTTTTTTTCCGAGCTCTTAAATTACAGATAAGTAGCCTTATGAAGACTTAATTATCATTAACATTTTTCACTACTCAATACATATATTTAAGATCTTAGTGTATAAGGTGGGTCTTTTTAAAAAGTGGGCCCTAGTTTAAGAAAATTTAAAAAAGAAAATGAAGGCATAAAATGACTTTGTAATATTCTTTTGGTCAAACTTTTGAATTTTTTTCAGCCTAGAACATGAAATCTAGTGTAATGTATATATAAGTCATCTTAAAAACGATACACAAACACCAATTTCTATGCATGATTCATGGGATCATAATTTCAGGAAACAGGTGACAGTGTTCCCTTTGTTTTTAGTTTCTTGGTATCTTAATCAAACTTAAGTCATTGATAGTCACTTTCTCCTGGAAGGTTTCCTTTTTCAAAACTTCTCTGGGACGAATTTTTCTTCTTTTTATAGTGTGAGTGCTAGGTACTTGAGAAATTGCTGGGAGCAAAAACAACTTTTGAATGTTTTTTTTGTGTTAAATGGTCCTGACCAAAAATACGTGCTAGTTTTCCCTAAACACCTTTTTTTCCCATTTTAGAGTTTCCCAGAGCTGGTCCTCCATAGCAAGTGATATGTTCCTTGTCCATGACTCATCTGCCTTTCACGCCAGCATCTCTCTGACTTTTGCCTTTTCCTAGATCAGCTCTTTGCCAAGTAATGACTCAGAGCTCAGGTTCCACCAGCACGGTCAGGTGTGGCTCCTCTAAAGCCATCTCAGCTGACCTTGAGCAAGGTCTCCTGAGGAGCTAGAGAGAGCTGGCCATGGTAATGAGACCCACCGTCCAGTCGAACAGAGCCAAGCTCTTGTCCTTGCTTGTCACTTTGTAAAGAAGAAGAGGAGGGGGCCTTCTCTGGGAAAAGCAGCTGGGATTTTAGTTGGTTTATTCTCATTATTCACAAAAATTGAATAGGCTTCTGGAAGGATAGATATAGGGATATTTCTGTCTCTAAAATAAAATACTCCTAAACTCACAAAGAAAGTTTACTTCTGTTTTTGAGAATTTAACACAAACTTACTATGAAGTTCAAGAGGCCACTATTGATTACAATTTAAATTGTTAAATTACCAACTAAGTTATCTGGCATATTTACAATGTTTTTCTTTCTTTTTTTTTTTTAATCAAATGAAAGACAAATTCTGTAAGTTACTGTGTATGCATGGCGTTGTCCTTGTTAATTACTGATGGCTATTACAAGGTAAATCATTTCATTGGCAATGTAGTCATTGCTTTTCTACAAAGATAGCAGAAAAGTTAAGCCCATCACCTCTGGAAGGCCTGCCCTAGGCGTGCTGCGCTAGAGGTGCTGTGTGCCTCATCTGAAGTCTTCATTTGACCTGCAGAGACATATTAGAATGTTTATTGTGTAGACAAAGGTGCAAGAATGAAAGAGTTTAACCCTTATACCAGAGGACAACCATGTGACCAGACATGCACTGGATATAAAACCCAAGTCTGCACAGATTCTTCTATCAAACCCTTACCAGATCTTTCACACCTGTTTGTTTATGATGATGAGGCCATAAATGGAATGAGGAAGTTGGTTGGGAAAAATTGGGAAGCCGGGGAAAGCAGAATGGGGAAAATAAGAAAATATAGATGTCAGTTGGAATATTAGAATGATTCCCTGGAAACCATAGGAAGTCTTCAGTTAATTAAAGAAGGAAAGAGACCAAAAAATAACAAGAGAAAGAGAACATGAGAGCACACTGGTAAAGAGAGAGAGAGAGGAGGATCATGCAGAGTGATTGTAGTTATGCCAGGAGGAAAGCTAGAATATCAAGACCTTCACAGTTTGTCCTCCAACCTAAATGTCTGCTACCATAAGTGGTGTGGATTGAGAATCCTGTGTGCGTTCTGACTACTCAGAGTTCAGAGAGATGCGAAGCTCATCAGGGTCATGTATTAGTGAGCACCGTCCTTTCCACCCTGATCTCTCTCTTCGATAGCCTATGTGATGACGGCACTCTTCCATAATGCTGTGGTCTGTATGTTTTTGTCTTTTACCAAATTTGTATGCTGAAATCCTGAGGATAGAGGGTGGAGCCCTCATGAATGGGATTAGTACCTTTATAAAAGAGGCTCCGGAAAGATCTCTTGCCCTTTCTGCCATGTAAGGACACAGTGAGAAGTATGCGATGCAGAAGAGAGCCACCACCGGAACACAACCATGCTTGAATGGCCCTTGATCTTGGACTTCCAGCCTCCAGAACTGTGAGAAATAAATGTTTATTGCTTATAAGCCACTCAGTCTGTGGCATTTTGTTATAGCTGCCCAAACAGACTAAGACACCTAGGATAAAAATGGTCTCCATGCATGGTCTTTGGGTGGTGTTTAGACATAGCTATTCTCATAGCTTCACGTGTCTATTTTGTCTGTCACTGTCCTGAAATTTATCTCTTAATTTTACTGGAGTCTCATAGGTCTGATTCTCTATAGGACACATTTAAAACAGAGCTCAGCATCATCCTTGGTCAAAGAGAAACAGTTTTCACCATGACAGTAGATGAGAGGACCTTCCTCTGGGAGGAAGTCCCCTCAAGCAACTCCTGGCTCTTTACCGCGCATGCCCACTCAGGCGCCCGGCCCTGCTGACCTGTCCTCCTGCATCCTACATCAGTACTGCCATATTTTCATCACCAGACAATTCCACTACTGACTCAGCCAGCCCGCCTCTAGGCGCTCTGCTCTCAGACCAATCGGATTAGTAAGCAGAGAAATTTTTACAAACACTATTTTTCATGGTGTTACTTCTCTGCTCCTAAGCCCCATATTCTCCTAGTTACCTATCGATCAAATTTAAATTCCAGAGCCTGGCAGTTAAAACTACCTTTCAGCTGGTCTCTACACACTCATCCCAAGTCAGTTTCCATTACTCTTGTTTTCTACATACCTGGCTCGTCAGAGTTTTT